TCCAGAGAGCAGATTTCAAATACTGTAAAGACAGGAAAAAACCCAAAAGCTTGAGGCAAGAGTATTGGGAAATATACAAAAATAAAATTCCAAGTGTACAGTTGTGACTGCTTGCAGGGAAGGAGAAAGAGGCTAGTGTAGCTGCCTGGGAGCACTCTGGAGAGATGTGGACATGATTGGAGTGCAATTTGATTTAGTTTCAGGCAACCTGCAAAGCCTTTCTGCATGCTGATTGCCATCTGACTTGAGGCATGCCGATTGCCATCTGACTTCCCTTCAAAGCTCTAGTGACTGTGCAACTATCTTATTTGTCCATAAGCTCTCTGGGGCAGGGACTTTTCTATCTTGTTCTTCCTTGTGCTCTAGCACAGTGTGTGGCCCAAGGAAGGAGCTCATTAAGTAGTTACTGAATGAACTACACACAGACAGAATGTTGGCTTTGAACTTGAAGGAAGGCTGGTAGGAGGTAAGGTGGGCTCTTTAAAACTGCCCAAGGTGATAGTAAGGGACAAGGAGGAGGGTGGGACTGGCTGCCCATGAAGGCAGTCTGAGGCTAACTGAGCTGCTGTGTTTTATGAGCCAGAGAACAGTCAGAAAACAGGCTGGAATCATTTGAAATAATTTCAAATTGCATTCTTGGGAAGGCTGCATCCCTGGGGACAGGATGAGGTGTCCGCTCAGTGACAGTACTTATTTTTTGATAAAATTTTGTGATTTTTTAAAATGCTTATTATGTGTCATGTTGTAAATTCTTTGCAGGAATAAGTTGTTTTAATCTTTATAGCAATACTACCATCTGGGTACTATTGTTCTCCCTATTTTTCTGATGATGAAAGTGAGAAACAGGTTAAGTGACAGCTAGTAAGCAGCAGTGCTTGCAACCCCTACACATGCTGGCTTGGAGCATAAACTGTGTGCCTGAAGGTAGGAGATGGAGAAGATAATTTCTGTCTCCACGAAGGAGAAGGTGCCATCCAAAAACCATGAATAAGAGGGCTGAGTATCATTTCTGATCAAGTTTCAGAGCCTATTATTAAGAGATGGTTTGAGCCAGGCACAGTTGTGCACACCAGTAATCCTAGTGGTTCAGGAGGCTGAGGCAGGAGGATCACCAGTTCAAAGCCAGCCTCAGTAACTTAGTGAGGCCTTAAGCAACTTAGTGAGACCCTGTCTCAAAATAAAATATAAGAAAGGTCTGGGGATGTGGCCCAGTGGTTAAGTGTCCCTGGGTTCAACCCCTGGTACCAAAACATAAAATAAAATAAAATAAAGAGATGGTTTGGGAATACTTAGGGAAGAGGTGGATGATCATTAGCATCATGTGAATTCCCTGAGAATCTGCCCTGCTGGGGAAGCTTATGTGCTTTTCTGATTAATTTTCTAGACTTGAAATTGGATTGGGTGTGGTGCAGCAGGAGATAGTGGTTATGAGTTTCTGCAAAAAAATTTGTTCTTTTATTCCTGTCAAAGCACTGCAGGTGACACAGAGGAATGTGGGCTGGGGGATGGCACGGCTGAGGAGGTTGATGAGTGGGCAGCTAAATCCTGCTCAGTGTGTTTATCAGTGCTTGAGGAAGGCTGTGTACGGCCTGCTAGTGATATTGTTGATGGCTGGAAACTGAGCAGCATACCAAGGCAAGATGGCAGGATTGGGACCCCAGATACCCTAGAAGCTGGATTTGGGGTTCAAGTCTAGTACTGTAGGTTCCCCTTATTTGTGGTGTCACTTTCCACAGTTTTAGTTACTCACAGCTAAACAGTCTGAAAATATTAAATGGAAAATTCCAGAAGCAATCAATTCATAAATTTTAAATTGTGTGCTATTCTGAGTAGCCTGATGAATTGTCACCTCATTCTACTCTGCCCCACTTGGGATGTGAATCATCTCTTGTCTAGTGTATCCACAATGTACACACTACCTGCCTATTTGTAACTATTTTGGTTATCTGATCAACTGTCTCACTATTTCAGTGCTTGTGTTTAGGTAATCCTTATTTTACTTAATAATAGCTTGAAAGTGCCAAAGTAGTGATGTTGGCAATTTGGATATGACAAAGTGAAGCCTTAATGTGCTTCCTTTAAGTGAAAAGATAAAAGTTACCAACGTCATCGTTGTTATGTATATACAGATGCTCCTCAACCCATGATGGGGTTAATCCAAATAAACTCATCATTAGTTGAAAATGCATTTAATGCACCTAACCTACTAAATATCATAGCTTACTTATCTCAAAATACTTATATCTGCTGGGGTTGGTGGCACACACCTGTAATCCCAGTGACTCTGGAGGCTGAGGCAGGAGGATCCCAAGTTTGAGGCCAGCTTCAGCAATTTAGCAGGGCCCAAAGCAACTGAGTGAGTCACTGTCTCAAAAAAAGAAAGGGCTGGGGATGAGGCTCAGTAGTAAAGTGCCTCTTGGTTCAATCTCTAGTAACAAAACAAAACAAAACAAAACAACTTATATTTTCCTACAGTTGGACAAAGTCCTCTGATACAAAGCCTATAAAATGTTGACTATCTTATGTAATTTATGAATGCCTATATTAAAAAATGCTAGCAGGGATTGGGTTGTGGTTCAGTGGTAGAGAGCTTGCCTAGCATGTGTGAGGCACTGAGTTTGATTCTCAGCATCACATATAAATAAAAAAAATGTCTATTGACCACTAAAATATATTTTAAAATGCTAGCAACACTGTACACTGTATGTATCATTTGTTTATCCTTGTGATTGTGTAGCCCCCTGGGAGTTATGTTTCACTGCTACTGTCCAGATTCTCAAGAGTGTATCTTATGGAATATTGCCAATTTGGGGAAAAAAATCAAAATTCAGAAATCAGTTTAGTGTCTACTGAATGTTTATCATTTTCATGTTCTCCTAACCTAATATTGACAACTTGTAAGTGGATCCATCATTAATTCAGGTACTGTCTTTACAGGACAAACCATAGCATCTATAGGGTTTGCTAACATACCTGGTTTTAGGAATCCACTGGGCGTGGGGGCCTTGAAACATACCACCAAGGATAAAGGGGACTACTGTAGATACACCTTAACAGAGATAAAAAGAAATCAAAGTTGGCCTCTAATCTAGTCTGCATCTAGGCAGAAGTGCTAGAGAATCAGAGTTGTCTGAGGAGTTCTGATTGAGTAGAAGCTTGGGTATGGCCCTATGTTGTAGGGGCTTACCAAAGAAAACACTGGAATCTTGGGGTTGAAGTGCTCAGGGCAGAGTCCAGAGTGAGGAAGGAAAGGTCCTGCTCTTCTGAGGCTCAGAAGACTAAGAACTCCTTATCCCTATTGTATTATTATTATTATTATTTTTGGTGAGCAGTGATTGAGCACCTTTCCTCTGTTAGACCCAGTGCCTGGAGCTTAGAATGGCTGGGCACTTTGCATTTCAAGAATGGTTGCTGAAAGAACTCAGCTTGTGGGCTGACCATTCCTCCCTCCCTCCTTTCTTTCCCGCCCCCACCCCACATTCTTCTCTGCCTCACTTCCTTCTGCAACTGTCCATTGTAATCCTGATCTGGGTCGGGCCTTGAGGTTATACGATCCTCAAAACAGACAAGGGTACTGCCTGTATGGGACATATTCCAGTGGGAGACAGATCACCAACACGTAAACATGAAAACAAGAGAGATGACCAGAGGATCATCATTCCCAAGAGGATCAGATTGCTCAAAAAAAACAAAAACAAAAACAAAAACAAAACAAAACAAAAAAAAAAAACTAAAACAGAGCATCAAGATAAGGAGTGACCAGTGGGTGTGTGGGGACTTTGGAAGAGGAGGAAGGCTTCTCTCCGAAAGTGACATGTGAGCTGAGTCCTAGAGGGCAGCCATATGGAGAAGGTGCTGGTGAGAAGTGCAAATAGGGCTGGAGGAGCACAGGATGTGGGGTGGAAAGGTATCCCAGCAGTGGGGATAGCAAGCGCAAGACCCTAGGTATATTCTAGAGGCAGAAAGTCACTGTGGTCAGCATAAAGTGAGGTCATGACCAGCAGACTGAAGTAAGGAAGATTTCCCTTCAATCAAAGGAAGGGCTTTCCAATGTTTACAGCTGCATAAGGACCGTGTGCTGTCCCCTGAAGGAGTGAGGTGCTCAATCACTAGAGGTGTGCAAGTCATGGAGGATGCCCACCGCGGGGAGTTACTATGGAAGAGACCTAAGCATCCCAAGGTTGGCTAGAGGACCCTTCCTCTCTTCAACCCCTTCAAGTTCAGGAGCATCTTTGGTTTGGCAGAAGCTGGGCAGGTGTCTGTGGAGTGAATGAATGAGAGCTTCAGGCTGCCAGGTCCACAGCAGGGGTAAACTTCAGGGGTTCTGGCAGTTCTTGAGCCCCCCTTCCCCACTTCCAAGTTCCTATAGCTCTATATCCCCAGAAGGGGTTCCCAGGAGAGCCCCAGAGTGTCTTCCTCAATAGACCCGGAACTCTGCACCTCTGATTCCCACCGTCCAGCGCCCCATCCTCCAGCAACCTCTGTGGGCAGGTGGGCTTCTTTTTCCTTCTCTTCCCTAGGCCCCCTGGGCGCGCCTGCCCCGCCCCACGCCTTTGTTCCTGAGGAGCTGCCTCGGGTAGTCCCCTGGTGGCGGAGACAGCAGCGTCCCCATGGCGCGCGCGGGGCTCAGGACCCACTGCACCCCGACCCTATGCCCTCGCCGCCTCCGGCGCCCGCCTCCCTGCCCCTCTCCAGTAGCAGCCCGGCAGCCACGCTGGGAAAGCTGGAGTGGGCACCACCCGGACCAGGGCGCGGATCCGGGCGGTGTTGCCTCGAGGACCTGGAGCCCGAAATAGGCACGGGCAGCGGCGGCAGCGGGAGGACCCTGGGGTCCCACCAGAGCAGACTGTGGATGCGAGTGCGCGACTCCGGAAGCTGGGGACGCGCCCGCCAGGTGTGCGAGCGGCTGCAGGCGGGAGGAGGGCGCAGCTTTGTGCGTTTCCAGCCGCCGGCCGGGTGTGCGCGTGTGCGCGCCGCGGTGACGGTGCACGCGACTGGGCGGGCTGCGAGGGAACCCCGGCGCCGAGAAGGAGGGGGCTTGGGTCCGGATGGAGAGGGCTAGACGCGCCGTTCTCTGCGCGCTGGCTGGGTGAGCAGCCAGGACTGACTGTTGACATTCCGTCCACGTCGGGGAGCGAGGTCAGTGGCTTCCGGGCTGGGGTGTAATTCCATAGTCAGCCTGGATCTGGACGAGAGTCCTGGGTGTGATCAAGCGTGGAATAGGAGTGTACGCTGTGAGTGTGGATGCGTGTATTGCAAAGCAATATCCAGCACGTATGGCCGGTGTGAGCTCTGTGTTGTGATCCCAAAGAGCAATTCAGTGTATGGGGTTATGTTTGGGAGGTGGGGTGACTGTCCTCAGAAATCCCTGCCGGGTGGGGCACCCCACATACATCAATGCAGAGGGGTGTGTGTGCGTGAGTGAGATGTTGGTTAGCCCGCGTCAGAGTCTGGCTAGAGAAGCTGACCGAGATGGAGGTCAGACGTGGGTGTTTACAGGTGGCGGTAGAAGGAAAAAAGCCAGGAACCCCAGGAAGACTGGAAAGGGTACCAGCCACAGCCCATCCTCACTCCAACCTGTGCCTGTTGCAGGGAAGGCAACTAGGATGGGGGTTGCTGGCTGAGAGGCCTTCATGGACCTTTGGGGCAAGGCCAGTCTCCAGCCTGATGCTCATATTCAGAGGTCTTGTATGGGTGGGTGTGGTGGGTGCCATCCTGGATGGGGGTCCAGGGCAGGTGTTTAGGGGACTTTGGGAGTCTGTGTAGACTCCACTTTGACTTTACCACCACTGGATGCTATGTGTCTGGATCTAGGAGCTGATTGAGGGATACCTTTCTTTCCTCTATAGCTCCCCTTTCACCCTTCTTAACAAACCTGAAGGACATTTACATGCAAGTGGGATTTGGGCTCTGAATTCGGGGATCTGCTTCTGATAGTGAGCCCCACTGGAGCAGCCTCCATGGAGAATATTAGGGTTGTCCTGGGTCAAGCATCAGAGTTCTTGGTTTCTTTTCATGCCTTGTAACCCTAAAGCTCTTCCTTGAACCCCACAGGCCTCAGTTTCCCATGGAGAGAGAGGAGGCTCTGCTCTCTCGCCCTCCTGTTCTTTCTGCTGTGCATGAGGGGGGAGTGCGGCGGGGGGGGGGGCGGTGCAGGCAGGAGAGGAGTAAACAGAAAGCTCACACAGCTGTCTGGGGCTGGGAGACAGGGAGTGACTCAGGGCCTGTGAGGTCCTGGGTTGTGATTTTCCTCAGGAAAGTCCTAGCACATCTTTGTGACTTGGGCAGGAGTTGGGGAAGGCTCTGCCCTTGCCTCCTAGCAAGGGTACTAGGTTTCCTCAGTCCAAGGGTGGCAAAGGGTATCTGCTAAATCTGGCTGCATGGGCTTTGGGAAACTGCTGGAAGTCCCTTCTGTGCCAGATGTTGAGAACTGGGGGAGGGATGGGCCTTGAAGGGCCTGATTGGGGGGGGATGGGGGACTGGAGCTGAAGACCTTCTGTGGTTGTTGCTTCTGGGTGGAGGCAGATGCTAAGATTGGGTAGGGCCAGGGCATGTCCAATGGGACATCTGCTCAGCCCAGGATATTGAGATAATTTGTCAGGACTGGGCTTCAATTCCAGAGAAGAGGATCCTCTTGAGGGAGGCACACTCACAGTCTTCTTTCCCTTTTTCCCCGTGACCCACTCTGGTCAGTGTGGCAAAGCCACAGTGGCCCAGAATGATTTAAACCTTGAGGGAAAGGAGCCCTGACATGGATGGTGGTGGTGGCAGCATGGCACGATGGTAAGCATGAAAGCTTAACCACTCTCCTGGTGACAGTGTGTTGTCACTCAGACTTGGGTTTGAATCCCAGCTGCACTACTTCCTCACTGTGTCCACTTGCATTCTCTTGGAGAAAGGCTTGTGTGCGTTTATTTGAGAAGTCATCTCAGGAAGCAAGGGGCAGGGGCAAGGAGAGAAAGAAGAGTGAAACAAGGAGGTACAATTTTAATTATCACCACATTTGATCCTGGTGGGCTCCTGAGGAGCTCTGTCAGGGAGAGAAGCAGGGAAGCATTTATCTGTTAATAGTGTTCCCTGCTGGACAGAAGTGGTTCCATGGATGTGCCTCCAGATTGCACAGGTGTGTGACTGAAGTGGCTTTCTGTGCTATCTGCAAACTTCAAAGAAGGCCTGGTTCAGGATACATGAAGCTATGTTGCATTTTACTTGTAAGATGCCATTCAGAGCCTGCGGGGGACTGGTCATTGCAGAAGTGGCTAGAGGGACTGAGAAGGTTGGAAGTGGCACACTGAAGTGTCCAAAACACTGAGTAACCTTGGGCAAGTTACCTAACTTCTCCTGATCCTCTGTTTCCTTATGTGGGTGTTGTGAGTGTGAACTAAGACTTTTTGAACATGGTGGTAATGGGTGGGTGTTTAGTGAAGGGCTCCCTAATGAAGCAGTTCTGTGTAGCTGGGAAGATGACAGGTTCTAGTGGAGCAGTTATTCATTCACTCAAGTGGAGGAGAATATAGGATAAGATAACCTCTAAAGAGTCCTCCTGTTTGTAGAATTGGGAGCTCAAGGGCCAGACTCATAACCTGGTCAGTTCCTGGAGGACACAGGAGCCCAGCAGTTGGCAGAGGAGGATGAAGGGAGAAGGCAGCTCAGAAGCAGGTGCTTGAAGGAGGAGCAGAGGGAGGGTGGATGCTGGCGTTTGGAGCTGGCAGATGGTCGTGGGCACTGGTCTGGGCTACAGTCAGTGGGAAGGACAGGGCAGGGAGGTGGGGGAGGGATGGAGAAAATACCTAGCAGGAAGGGAGAGGAGAGCCGGTCGGCAGAAGATGCTCAAGAATGATGGAGGAAGCGGGGCTCAGGGGTGAGGTGGCCGCCTTGGTGCCTGGGGTTAGAGGTGTCTGGGTCTGAGGGAGAGTGATGGAGTGCAGGAGGGAAGGGAAGGGAAGGGAAGCAGTGGTTGAGGGTTAGTTGAGGGGTCCTAGGATATAAGCCAGAGCAGACTTCATATTCAAGATCCAGCACCCACAAACTTCCTCATTTGTTTTTCCAGTGTGTTCACCTGCTCCTCCTGGGCTACCACCTTCTTTGACAGGGGAGATGCAATCTGTCTGCAAACACTTAGGTCCTGTTATGAGCAGCGTCTGGAGAAGTCGCCTCGGCCAAGGCCTGTTGCCATGGTACCAGGTGGCCCTTGTTTCCCTACCCTTTCCTATCTCTGAGCAACATGCCACCCCCTTAGGAGAGATCACACAGTAGGGAAGGTATCCAGCTTTTTCTTGCTCATGCACAGGTGGTTTGGGCTGGCAATACAAAGGTCACTGTAGACCTGTAGACAAGGTCATATCTCACTGAGGCTGGTGAGGTGTGGTCTTCATTTACAGTCATATAAAGAGTATTTTGGCCTCTGCAACTTGGGGTGCTTTTTTTTCTTAGTAAGTTTAGTGCCGGGCATGGTGGCTCATGCCTGCAATCCCAGTGGCAGGTTACTTCCACAAGGCCACAAAGCTAATAAGAGATAGAGCCAGAAAATTAACCCAGATCTGTTTCTGATACTTGCTGTCATTCCCTCCCCCCTTCCCAGAGGCTGAGGCAGGAGGATCGTGAGTTCAGAGTCAGCCTCAGCAACTTAGTGAGGCTCTAAGCAACTTAGAGAGATCCTGTCTCTAAATAAAATATAAAAAGGGCTGGGGATGTGGCTCAGTGGTTGAGTGCCCCTAGGTTCAATCCCCATTACCAAATAACAACAACAACAACAACAACAAGTTTAGTTAAAAAAATAATAATACCACCCTTTCAGTCTATTCCCGTTTTAAAGTAGCATCTAGTGGATGACACGCTCTTCTTGCCCACACCTCTTTCAGAGCTTTGGTGTGTCTCCGGTGGGAAATCCTACCTCATACCTGATCTCATCCTGCCATCTGCACTTTGTGTGCACGTGTGTGTATATGTGTGTATGTGTTTTGAGTTTTTGTCTTTCTCTGTTTGCTACCACTCTTCAGGGCTTCCAGATGGGGATAAAAAGATTTCTGCCCATCTGCTCACCATGCAAAGCAGCCATAGCATCCTCCCAAGACAGGTGGGATGCCAAGGCAAGGATTGTGCTTTTGAGAGACCCAGCCTGAAGTGGAGTCTGTGAAGAGCCCCCCAGTCCTGCCTAGGCTTGGGTTCTGCCTTGGATGTTGCTCTTCAGGCCAGATTACATCTCATCTCCTTCCTTAGTTCAGATCCAGGATTGCCAGTCTCCTTCCTGGATCATGCTGGCTGGCTGGCTGTTGCCCTGCTTGGTCTGGGTCAGCAGATGACAGCAGGTGTCAGCACCTGGAGGACCTTGGTACAGCCAGGGCCCTGATGGTCAGGTGACCCAGAGTAAGAGCAGGAGGGGAGTGGCAGCAAGTCAGGCCGACCAAGATGTGCTTGTGGGTGTGAGCACATCTGTGCTTGACACACATGTGCGTTCCTGGAGGTCATGCTGCTCGATTGCTCTCTGTACATCTCTGTGTGGTCCCACGGAACACGTTTCTGTTTGTGACTGTTGTGCTCTCTGGCATGTTCGTAGGTACCTTTTTTTCTGGATGCAAGTGTTTATCACCAGCTTGGCGCTCTCCAGGGTCCTGGAGGGTATGCCTGTGTGCGTGGCAGGTGCTACTTTATCCTAGCAGGGTTCCTGGCTCCCTGAGGCTCTCTGAGTCTTCTGCCCTGCCCAGTTCTGCTCTCTCTCCAGGCTTTTTAACCCTGTCCCTTCCTTTGCCTTGAGGAAGCCACTTCTCTCCCTTGAATGTGTGGGTGTCCATTGCTTTTGGGGTAGGGACTGAGGAAGGACTACCCATCCAACCTTCAGTCCCATGCTCCTGAGCTTTGAGGGGGATGGATGTGAGCCCCGTGTTAAGGGGATAAGTCAGGGGTGGCTACAGGGGCTGGGCAGAAACATGCTTCAGAGAACTGTTGCTCCTGCCACCCATCCACTTGACCCACCCTTAGTGGCCTGGGCACCAATGCTGCTGGAGGAAGACTCCTTGAACTCGGCTATGCATATCATTGATATTTATGCAGCAATCCCTATGCCAGGCTCTGGACCACATACTATACATGTATTAGCTCACTTACTCTGCAGAACACCCCTCGCTTATGAGAATAACAAT